TAAAGAGTATGTATTTACAAAGATTTTTTTTAGAAATTCCAATTATTTGCAGGCAAAATTCTAAATGAAATAATAACTGTTCAAAAACATTTTATTGAATCACTGTATTAAAAAATGTAATAAACAAATAATCCACCATTCTTCAATCAACGGAAAATTCGGTCTGCAGCCATTCAAACATGTTTCGTATAATGACAACATCTGTTCTTGAGTCTTCAATTGCTAATTCAATTTGAGTGGCAGTCTCTTCGTCTGCCATGTTCACTAGCAGGAATATTGCAATGGACGACCTTATGTTTTTTCATTGCCGCCTGTGATGGGAAATATTTACCGAAGAAACATATTCTCTTGGAAATTCTCCTCTCCTAGCCACCGATGGACAATAGAGATCAAAAGGCATGCTACTGTAACTGTGATCGGGCAGTAAATTTATGCAAACTGCTGCACTCAAAAAAAAAACACTACAATGTGGACATCCACTTTGTCCTTAAACCCCCCCCCCTCCTTTGTCCACTTTAGTCCACTTTTTGCTGAACCCCCCTCCCCCCTTTTGTGTGGACGTCTTTTATGGATGACCCCCAGTGACAGCAAATATTTTTATGATTTTATGTAGTGTCTTTCGCACCACGGCACAGGGGGTGCTTTCAAAATTTCAACCCTGGTTAAGAAAAACTGATCTGGGGGAAATGTTTCTGTCACAGGTGCAGTAATTCGATTTCAATTGGAGGTGCATTTTTTAAAAGGGTTTGTAAAGGACATAGGACATTTTACATGGGGGGGGGGGGATCAGAGGTTTGTGACGTAATATTTGAAGGGGTCACTTTTTAGACGGGGGTTGCTATCGGTAAAATGTGCGTGACGTCAGTTTCCTCAGGGGCCCCATTGGGGACTCCTGCACACCCTAAAATCTCCCAAGTTTTTCACTACGGTACATTTTAAACTTAAATTTATTGGGGAAAAAATGGTTTAACTAATCTTTATTACATTTTGAAATGAGACATGCCACCAAAAACATTGATTTCTACAATTTGTGTGGTTGTTCGATCTAAAAAAAAACAAAAACAAACAAACTGCGATGAACAAATATAGACTATAGGTATTTATTTATTTCATTCAATACCGGTACCGGTATAAAAATATACCGTATTCATAACAGATAACAGTTTGAAAAAAGCAACATACTGGTACTAACATAAAATGTTTAACAACCAATGATGGAGGAGCACTGTTAGCAATTTTTAGTTAAGCTAATCCTTTAAAAAATATTGCCAACATTTAAAGAAATCTCAATCCAAGTTTTTTCTTTCATTACATATTGTAACTTTCCTTTTTGAACCGGGCGCATTTAACTTAAGTTAAGAATTATTAAATTGTGCTCATCTTTCTTTGATCATTGACAGCACACCAAGGACCAGTACTGAGTAAAAGCTTACCGGTAGGCCTGCCCTTCCATTTTGTCCCAATACAATTTTTATAAAGGTGAGAGTAAGAAAAAAGGGTACCGCAACTCTCTCATTTTGAAAAAAAAATATATCTATTATTACTATTATCATTGAGTAAACTGCTTAAATTCAGTTAAAAATATGTGCTGGAATAGACCGCACACTGTGCCAAAAAATAGACCCGTGTAAGTGTAAAACATAATAGATTTTAATTTAACAGTTTTAATACATATTAATAAAGAAAAGTATTATTGACTCTTGGGAAAAAATGTGGATAAATTAAAACAAAATCCTGGCTAATACTAGTAGCCTAATACTAAACCCTAAAATTTTAGATGATGAGAAAAAGATGATAGACCCAATCTCGGATATTGTTCTACTTCAAGTCCGTTTCCATATTAACTTAGTGGAAAACCTGTGTCAAAAAGACAGCTTCACACAGGTCATAACAAAATGCATTAGAAATAGTAATGTATCGCTAAAACTGGGTACCGGTATTCCTAATACACTTACAAATCCTTCGGTGTTATTCCGGAGCGTACATCCATACCGGATCTGATGGTATGCTGTTCAATATTGCCCGCCTGTGAAAAATGTGCTAATAACTAATAGTAATTCGCTAACTGCTGTTTGCTGGCGATGCCTTGCTTCTGTGCAATGTCTTCAGCGGCTTTTTAATGGCCCCTCACACGCATGTTAAGAGTTTCGACTGTCTATTAGTTTACAGAAAATAAAAGTAATGATGCAAGAAGCACCGTTCTAAACATATCTATTGAGGGTCATAATCTGTCGGCAGTTGAATAAGTTGAGCCAAAAGCTTCTATCAATCAGCGATGTCTGTGTCGCATTTTAATTTTAAGCATTTCATGGCAGATCAAGGTGCCTAACAGTACTAACACAGAGGTCTTGGAATTGGAACTTGCTAAAATGCGTACCGGTAGCATAATCTCCGCTCTTCTTAGCAAGAGGCGCCTTCGCTGGATAGGCCATGTCAGGAGAATGGAGGAAGGCAATATTCCAAAGAATCTGCTGCATGGAGAGCTGACAGAAGGGACAAGACTTATTGGACGTCGGCGACTGAAGGACGTTTGCAAAAGGAGCATGAGGGAAGCCAACATAGAAATCAGCGAATGGGTGATCATCGCTGAGCACCGTTACAGCTGCCGAAGAGCAGTGTATGAAGGAGTTAAAATGCAGAAGATGCGCGAAAAGAACCCCTTGCAACAAAAAGAGCATTACAATATTTACAAAAGACCCAATCTAAACCAGGAGTCAAGGTTGCCCTGCAAGAAATGCAACTGACTGCCATTCCAGGTTCGGCCTAGCAAGCCATTTGATGATGTGTACATAACTATTCCATCGTCTCGCGAAAACGGAAGGATGCCACAAATATATTACGCCCAAGATGTCTTTAGGTCATGTAGGCCTACCATAATGTCACAATGTTCATAGAATAAATATTTTGTCAATTCAGTGGACGAGATGTTATCAAGTTTATAATTTGTACACAATTGAGATAGTTGGCAGTTGCAGTCAAAAGGAGTGTCCTTTTTTTTTCTTCTCAACTGTGAGTGCTACAATGAGCCCATACCCATTCTCTGTTAATGACACATCCTTCATCCATGCTGTTATGGCCTTGTGTTGACCTAATTTTTGCTTCGACATAGAGCTGCAGCAACCACCACATATCCCCCCCCCCCCTTTTTTATTTTTTATATTGATGTCACAAATTAAATGTGTAGCACATTGACCTAATTTTTTCTTCGCCATAGAGCTGCAACAACCACCACATATCCCCCCCCCCCCCTTTTTTATTTTTTATATTGATGTCACAAATTAAATGTGTAGCACTCTACCATTATCCACCACTCCCTTGAATGGGAAAAGGCTGTTTATATTCTAATTTGTTCTAAAATACGCTATCGAGTGAAGCAATTTCTAAAATTTCTTTTCCGTAGAGTTCTAACTCCCCTTCCTATAAATAAGCTGGCAGCTTTTCCAGCCGGAAGAGATTTGCTAGACACGAGACTTACCAGACTAAATAGAACCCTTACAGGATTTTACTCTATTTGTGTGTGTATATTAAAATGTGTATCTTTCAAGGATTATACTTTTTCCCCTGCTGTGCTGTAAGTTAATATTAATGTAGTTTTTATTTTTGTATATTTGATTTTTTTAAAATTTGCAAAACCACATAATGGTTCGTAACACATGCAAGAAGTCACGTGGGTCTATTCAGAACTACTGGAAGTAGAATCTGCTGATTTACTATTTTGGTTTGATGTTTTTATCACACTAAGGCTGACTGAGCAATAAGTATAACATAAACTACTGCATATTGTACATAAATAAAAGTCTGTGGTAGTCTGGAACATTCTTTTTTTTTTACCTTAACTGTAACTCAATTGACAAATATCTTTCATATTGGAGTACAGAAATTTAATTAAAATATTTGAAAGTAGACTGAGAAGCAAACATTTACAACATGTATGACCAAAATCTTTTACATCAGTACCTTATGGTACCTATGGTTCATAGTCATAGATTCATTATAATATTAAAAAAATCAAATAAAACAATTATTGGCATCTTTATAATATTTAAATCTATCGTATATTGGTACATGTCTGGATTATAAAATATTTCACACCAGTAACCATTTGTTTTATACAGGAAAACAGAAATATAGTAGTATTGTTGATTAACACAGCCGCACTTTTGCATCAAATAATACATTTTAATAATAACAAACATGGGAGCATGACAGTGATTTACTGATTGTTTGTAGTTTCCAGTTTAACAAGTTGACACATTCTCTGTGACTAGTTCTGCTTTTTCTTCTTCTTCTTTTTATAATAATATTTATAAAGAAGAAAAACAAAATCATGGCTCGCAAAAAAAAAAATCTAACACATATGACAAACACACAATATGTAGGTAGGCCTACATCTCAGTAACAGAGCTGTCAATACCATTTAATCACAGTCAGTAGCAACTAATAATAAAACAGCTGTTCCAAGTATCGGTACTGGGTACAGCTTACAAATCACCATTTAATTATTTTATGCAAATAAATTTCATGGAATTTTAATGTACATTAAAACGTTTGCGCAGTTAATCAAAACTTACTTACAACAGTAGCCTAACCATGAGGGTGAAGCTTCTTTACAAGCTGTTTAAAACAAACAAATAACCAAGTTATTAGGAGCTTAGCATTTTGGTCAAGTCTTCACTTCCACTGTAGAAGTTGGTGGTTAACTCAAAAAGACATCTCAATATTTCTTCATGAGCACATTGCCAGGCAAGAAATTAACCATTTCTGATAAATGGAAAGTAAGGAATATCTTAAAGGTTGCGCCATCCATGCCTAGCCTTATGACAACTTTAAATGGTTTTAAGCAGGCTTGCACAACATATGGCTCACATGCGGCCCCACAGTACCCACTTTGCGGCCCGCGAAGTAACAAAATATTATTTTTTATTATTATTTTTTAATAGTTTTAACCCCTGTCCTATTTTCCTTTGGCCTGCACAAGTTTTTATAAAGTATTATGACCTGCTTTACATTTTGAGTTGTGCAGGCCTGGTTTTAAGTATATATTTAGAGCCATTGACCACTACAAATTAGTAGACTATTTATTTAAAAAAAAAAATTGTGTCAAAATTGTAATTATTCTAAGATTTTATAGCCCATAAAGTGACATTTTTTAAATTAGTTAAACACTCGAAGCCTTTATGCCTATTCAAGTTTTAAGAAATATACATTTTTTAAATAAAAGTAAAGTTCAGTAATTTAAGTAAAATGTTAAATTGAAAAGGTTCATCTAATAAAATGGATTCATAGTTCTTGAGTAAACAACATGCCAGCTGGTTAGTTGACTAGCACAGCTGAGAAATGTATTTGGTTTGGTGTGTTGTGTGCGGTTTGGACAGCAATAGTTAAAGTTCTATGACTCTTATCATCTTGTAAACAACCACATCTGTCAAAATGTCCCTATAAGGGTATATAACTGTACCCAACATGAAGCAAGAAGATTCTTCATGGGCTTCACTCCCTTCAACCTTAGTTAGTTTATAGAAATAGGAGAATTTTTTAAAATCGTGATATAAATTTACATTTCAAGTATAACATACACATTTAAAAACATACACATTTTAAAAAAAAATGTGATGTGATTTATTTCAATTAAAAATAAGGAATACTTAAAATTATGGAGTAATGTATTAGAGATGTTAAGACAGGAGCACACTGAAGGACATCTATTAGTTATAGGTACATCTTTGATGTGAAAACCAATAAATCTCTTTCACTGTAAGATAAATGTTTCACCAAATATAGATTATGATAAATATTACTCAGGATATTATAGTAACATTAAACATGTTTTTAATATGTTCTAATTTGGTAATAAAAATGTTTCTAAATACATTGGATGTTTTTTATGTGTAGTGCTAGTGACAAGCAAAAATCTCCACGTATTTGAATTCAGAATCTGATGAGCTTCAACAAAAGGGAAATGTGAATCAAAATTTAAAGTTAACAGTACAAATAAATGTAGGCCCACTCATTTTAAGGCCATTAATAAATAAATCAAATAAAAAACATAAATTGAAGAGAAATGAAATTGGCCAAGGAAAAAGTCAGGTAATTCTCTTACACTCCAGTTTGCACTGATTGTTTTTCAAGATACTGATTTTTTTTTTTTTTTAGAGACTTACTTTTTTTTTCTTCTTTCATTTTGCATTAAATTGTATGCAAAAACTACAAGTGAGGCTTATAGACAGGAGCTGGCATATCTATGGATGAATAATACAGCACAAATGCAGCAGGACTCTGAAAAAGATTAAATTATTTTTTCACTTTATTGCTACCAACAGTTAAAACCACTTTATTTTTATTCTTAGATTTAAAGCAAAATCCCAATTCTTGTGTAATAATGAGAGATCTAATTTTTTAAATTTTTGTTGTTTACTATTTTATATTTCAATAGGCAAAGATGTATTTTAGAGAGAGCTTATAAATTTTAAGACATTCTGAACATGTTTTCATTGATATTTTATACCGGGTATTTACAATTCTTTTTGTTGTCATAGGTGTTTCATTCAAATAAAATGTATTCCAACATTGATCATTTCACAAAATGACAGGATCCTTGTAATTTTTAAAAGTCATATTTTATGATTGACTGTTAACAGTTTGTAAATTGCTCTTCAGCTGGATTAGGTCCAACAATCAATGACATAGCCTGCGCCACACCCTATCCTGTGTTATTAAAACATATTCACAGCCAAATCAGAATATATTAAGAATCATAAGTTTCATTTTTGAGTTGAAAAATATCATTTCAAATGATTTACGGGCACATTTTTCATAAAAAATTAGTAGTCTATCTTCCCCATGATTGCAATGATTGCAAATAAACAGGCGCTTTTGTCAAATTTCTTTCATTAGGTCTACTTTATTAGCTTTAAGTTGTTAAAATATTTGTTTCCAACCTACAGACCGGCTTTCATTACTTACTAAAACTGATTATGCCAAGCTATTTCTACTATTACAGTAGAGAAAAGAGGAAAAGAATGCTAAAAAACTATGACTTATTAGCTTAAATGTGTATAGGAAATGAGCATTGGCACCATTTTACACAGAGAAAGAAATATAAATTGTAGGAAATAATGTATTGCAAAATTATGTTTTAAGTGGTGAGGTAATATTCTGTCATTAAGGTATAGAAGTTTTACCAATATTAGTGAATTTTAGTCTCTTCTTCTTTAAAAAGGTAACATGAAAATAAATAATATTTACCTTAACATCAGAATTAGACAGTTCATAAACATCCTGATCATCAAATTTATACCACTTTTTATTGACTGGATTCCTACAAAAAGCTGTATCTGTAAAGAATATAAAAAAGCCTATCAGATTTTTAGTAATATTGGTTTACTAAGACAGGCTTTTGTTTATTTTAGGGGTAAAATAAAAGCTAAATTTTTAAGTTTGATTAGTTTGACTTGCATGATAAAATTACTTCATGAAAAGTATACTTACAGTGACCCCCTTCCATAGTACCATAATGATTCTGAAGAAAAATAGTACATAAAAAATAGTGAAAGGTTTTGTTTATATTTTGAGAGCTGTTTTATTTGAAATTACAATTTTTGTTTCAGAGAAGTAAATTTTCTAAAACTACTTTGACATGTTTGAATAGAAATATCCTGACATGAATTAAATATTCATTGCAAACTTTTTAGGCATTTCACAAAATGACAGGATCCTTGTAAAAACTACTTTGACATGTTTGAATAGAAATATCCTGACATGAATTAAATATTCATTGCAAACTTTTTAGTCTATTGGATCTTGTAAGCTTGAAATTGTGACCTTTCGTTCAATTGTTATATGTAATAGCACACTTTGTATTTATTAACAAGTAGCATGCCAGGCCTTGCTGAACTTGAATTGAAAGTTTGTTGTTTGAGCATTTGTACATGGATTCAGGGTTGATGGGCATGAACAGTGGTCAGTTGATTGACATGACCAGTGGTCTGTTGATTGACATGACCAGTTTTCCAAAATGGGAATATTGACAAATAAAGCTTATTTGGGATGCTAAAAGTAAAAGTAAGTCCCAGCTCAAACGATAATGTCACCAAAAATTTGTTTGTTTTAAATGTACGTTAAAAAAACAATATTTTGCAATAGATCTTCACACACCGACCCTGTGAACTTAAACTTTGTTGATGTTGAATAGCATAAGCTAAAAACTTAATTTAATGATGAAATTTATTAGTCATACATTGAGAAGGTTATTTTTAAAAAATGTAAGAGATACAAGCAATCTAAAAACATATCCTCAATTAGCATAAGAAAATCAGAACAAACTTAAATTGAAATCAATGTTGAAAACTTGTGGTTATTGAGGGGTTAAATTTAAATAAGCAGCTTATAATACATACTGATATTCCAAACAGACTGTAGCGATTGCGAGGTTTTGGGCCAATGATGAATTCTGAAAAGTCCAGGTCAACCAGAGGGAAATCAACATATGTTGTTTTTTTCTGCATCCACATTCCTTCAGCATAGAACCTGATGATCATGATTAATTAATTTTTCAGTCAGTAACTCAAGTGAAAATTTAAAATATAATTCACAGAAAAATTGACAGAATTTATCTTGTAAATCATTGCCCAAATCATTTGTATTAAGTGAGAAACAGTTAAATATAGAATAGCACAAATCAGAAGCTGGCAAAAATATTAGTTTGTAGTCATGTTTTATAGAGAAATCAAATAAGTGAGATGCTCACTGTCTCTCTTAGTGACAGACCATTTCATCATACCATTAGAAAGCTGGAACAGAACTTAAGCAAAAAAACCTGACAAACCTGTTAAGCCCCACCAAGAGGATAGGTGGTAGTTTCCATAGATCAATTTGTTTCCTGGAGTCTCTTTCAACTTTGCAGCAGGGACATTTCCACTTACTGCTCCCAGTCATCATTTCTGGCAATAAAAACTTGTTTATGCAATCCTGAAACAAAAAAAAACAAAAAAATCAAAACGTTTCAAATATTAAATTTTATTCTAAAAAAAAATATTCTACAAATCAAGATGTCTTAAAATATCACATCTGAAGACGATATCAAAGTTGATTAAAACTTAACTGAACATACCTTAAGTGAACATTTAGTTTGAGATGGTATAGGGAGAGACAAAAACATAAAGGCTTGGAAAGTCACAGAGGTCTTCCCACAGGTTCCGCACATTAATGAAGACTTGAGCTGTCCCTGCAGTGATACAAATTGAAAATTTTTTGGGTCAAATAAAGTTCACTATATAAACTGAAAAGTCACTCACAAAACAAGCCAAATAAATGTCAGCTTGGATTGATACAAATTTCTTGCTCATGTCATGGGCATGACATTTGGAGGGGCTGAGTTGGGGGGGGGGGGGGAATAATTGAGTCAGTCATTGATTAAACTACCAGTCTCTGCTGTTTAATATATTTATTTGTATTTACTGAAAGTTTGAATTAAATGACTCAAATCAAATTATGGTAGGAATCAAAGATCTAAACAGATGCTTGACTCTATGAAGCTATAAAAACCATGCAAAAAGCTGTCTGCAGCTATCCAAATATTTTAATAATCTTTGGGATCTTCTAGCTTCTGTACAAGACATCAAGCAGGGGTTTATTAAATGTCATAAATGTTAGATTTGTCATTTGAACCGGAGTCCACCATCCCCAAAACTTAATTAAGCTCACTAAAAGGGGAACAAATATGTTTATAAAACAAGTATTAAAATAAGTCAAAGTGCAAAATAAATTATTCATTTGAAAGCCTTAATCAGTTAATGTACAAAATACCTTCAAGTTAATATTATGTAGCACATGAAGATAGGTAGAAATTTAAGCCTGGATATTTCAATTAAAATGAATTCCTTCATTCCTCAAGACAATGAAACTGTTATTAAAAATACATTATTTTCATCAGATTTTTTTGAGTGACTCAAGCTAAATATTTAAACAAAGGGTAAACAAAAGATTTGACATGAACCACAACCTGGAAAAGCTCCACTATGATCGATCTGTGCAGCAGTTTGTGGTGTTTCCAGGCCCTGCTTGCAGCCTCAGTATCACTCAGTTGGTCATTGTTTTGTTCTGGGATCTCTGGGGCTTTCTTCACCTGGGTAAGGCGCAATCATCAGGTATTCAAATGGTTATGCAATCAATAAAGGACAAAAAATACTTATGTTTTACCAAGTCCACTAAAGAAACATTATAATGATTAAAAATGCTTATATTGTTTATGTGCAGCTTGTTTTCATAATTCCATATAAAAAATTTTCCTGAAATTCTGTTAACACAAGAGTTACACAGAAACTAAGATGATTTTGTAACTCAGCTTTGAAATCACCTCATTTAAACCTTCGTGCAGACCATCCAGTAAAAAAGTTAGAAATTCTTGGGAATCTTGTTGTTGACAGCCAGCAAACATGGGGTTGTACTTGGCTACTGTGTTCTGTAAAACATTGCAAAGAGACAAACATCTTAGCTTGTTTGGAGAAGGTCACCTTTCTGCATAAGGTGACTTGAACAATGAATAATAATGTTAAACATGAATTTACCCCTAGAGATGTACAGTGGGATAACTATCAATAATTAAACAAGAGAGAGGCTGTGTTGTGTTAATTCAGTGATTCTCATACTTGATGGTTTCAGGTGTACTAATAGCCCCCCAACAGATTAAAGTGGGTGCTGGGATTACCATTGAGGGGTCTGGTAAATGATATCAAGAATAGCACTATTGGAATGTTAGGAGACCGGACAAAGGGCTTGTTTATGTTTTAGAGGTGTTCTCTAAAACGGTCTCCAAGGCGACGACTTGTCTCCAAACAATTACAAGATACAAACTTTTACAGGCTGAGCAATTTGAGACATCGCAGTTACTGGTATACTGTATACACAAGATAGGATTTATATGGAAAATAAATTAATAACAAGATTTGGCACGTTGACTCCATACGGTATAAACCAAATCCTCAATTTAACGTAGCTGCAATCTCATTTTCCTGTTTGGTTTTTACATTTTATTTCAAATCACTTCCTTTCCGTTCTTCTTTACTTTGTTTTTTGTCTGGGTTTTGCGTCCACTCCTATTCTTTTCCATTTGGTAGTTAGAATACATGTGTATATATATTTATATTATGCAAATTTAATGTATACTTTTTCAAATTTTTAGTTTTTATACAGATGAAGGCATTCGCCGAATCGTTTATTTGTGTATTATGTAAAATTATTATTAAAGCTGAACATATATATTGTTTTATTGATACGAATTGTTTGTGTCTATTAATCTATTTTAAAGCTTTATCGCAGTCCAACACTCTTATAATTAGTTGACCAACTACAAGTATTTAAAAATAAGTTAAAAAAAAATGCTGTACCTTTAAGTCCCTGGGGGTTATAGACCGGAATTGCTGTGACCATAATGCTTTAACAACCACAGCAAATTCATCAACGACTTCTCCTTGCATGCCCTGGGAACTCTCTCTGAACACAAAAAAAAAACAACAACATAAAAACCCCCCCCACTAAAAATAAAAGCAACAAATGAAACAAAAATCATTATGTTTAATTGTCTGGTTAAGGCACATAATGTAAGCAGCTTGTTAGTGTATAAATAATAACTGTCATGATGAATATAAGAAACCCAAGTAAGCCACTTGTTAGCGTATAAATAATAACTGTGATGATGCATATAGGAATCCTAAGCAAACCAAACATTGGATGGTAGTAGATATTTTAATCACAGAAGTAAAAAATGGTCAGGTCCAGATAGCTAAAACAAGCGCTAGGATTTGGCTTTGATTACTATAATACCATAGCTCTTTAAATAATCTTGACATAAAATTGAAAATTCCAAATTTTTCATTTCAACAACAATACTTTTAAATGTCATACACTTTCAGGCATCCGTCCATCAAACTGAAAATGGTGTAGACTTCGCAGGATGAAATCACAAGCCTGGGATTTTTTCTTTAAGAGGATAAGCTGGTTCCCTAAGCATCCCACCACCCCTCTCCATGCATTTGGATAACCCAAGGGAACAGCTTGGCACCAGTAGTGTCACAGGAGTTGCCGGAATTTTCATTGTGTTAATGTCATACCACCTACAAGATTCCATCTCCGGGTTTGAATTCAGAGTTTTTCTTCTCTTAAATGAGTTGCCAACCAAGATTAACAAGCCCCATCCACCGAGGTTGCTGGCAGTGTTTTTGTTTGTCTGGGTTTTTGCAGGCATTTGAACTCCACAAGCTTGCTTGGGATTGACTCAGTTTAGACCGCTCCGCCACCCAGAACCACTTAAAAGCACTTTTACCCTGACTCTATTTCCCCAACATTAAAATATATAATTACAGATCTTACTTTTTCAACATTTTATCTGAGAACATTTTATAGCAGACCAAATAATTGTTTCCACGTAACACATGAGTGTTGTCATATTGTGAACATCACTTTACCTGTTGATGTCATACAGATAATTGTCATTCAGGAAGTAGGTAATGAGTGGGGATGTGTTATTCAAACATTGGATCGTTGAGTTCATGTAGCAGGTGTTACCCAGATTCCTGAGGCCTGTAAGAGCGGGACCCTAAAACAGAAACCATGAACTTTCAAGAAGTAATTACTGGTATAGTTTTGTTCTTATTTATACCACTACTTACAAGCTTTGACTCCACTTTATAACCATTTTTTTTGTGTAGTAAACTTCTAAAGATGGTCTAATTGTAAATGTTAACAAACTAACACTAAAAATGAAAGTACATGGAAATAATATTATTTTGATTTTTCATAAAAATTTTATATCCACTTTTGAAGACATTTGTTGGTGTCCAGATATTTCTTTAGTCTTCTTTAATTGCTTTTCCGCAACAAGTTTTATTATAAAATTTAAGAATGTGGGTTAAATTAAATATTTATAAAAGATTCTTTTCGGTTCAATGAAAAAATGTACATTTATAAAAATGAAAGAAAAATTGAGACGATATAAAAATAAAAATGTCCATGATAGTATTAAATTTAACATGAAAATTTACTGAAACATACCACATCACCATAAACTGGGTTCAGATCTCTTTTTCGCACTGAGTATGCTGTCTGTCTCGGCATTGGCATGATAACACTGAAATTAATTTTTAAAATTCAAAACGTGTAATCTCTATTAAACAGCGATACTATTGTTAGGTAAGTGAAAATGCGTGGGAGATTTTTGCTTTTAAAAGTGTAACTTATTAATTGTTTCAACCACCTGAAAATTTTTTTTAGAAAAAAAAGTTGAAGTGAATAGCTAAATTAAGCAAAGGGCTGTAATAAAAATTATAAATTTATACAAATATATACAAAATATTTTGGACACTGCAGGAGGGCCAGCTTGTTTAAACATTTTTTATGTTTTAATAAAAATAACAAAAGGGCCACGTCCATTCCTTCAAAGAGCCACAAGCAGTTCTGGAATGGACATTGCTGACCACTGCTTTGAGGAAAGTCAGGAAAGCCATTTGCTTAAAATAATCATTTATTTTTTTAAAGCTGAAGAAATTACAGGATCACATAAAGGTGAGAAAGATGTGGCAGTGATATTATATGATTGAGAGTGACAGCTTCCCACATTCTTTAGCCAGTAAGAGTTAAAGCTTTCCACATTCTTTAGCTATTAAGTGTTAACGCTTTCCCATTCTTTAGCTATTAAGTGTTAAAGCTTTCCACATTCTTTAGCTATTAAGTGTTAAAGCTTTCCCCATTCTTTAGCTATTAAGTGTTAAAGCTTTCCCCATTCTTTAGCTATTAAGTGTTAAAGCTTTCCCCATTCTTTAGCTATTAAGTGTTAAAGCTTTCTCCATTCTTTAGCTATTAAGTGTTAAAGCTTTCCCCATTTTTTAGCTATTAAATTTTACTTAAAGAAAGGTTACACAATTCCCGTCCATTTAAATAAGTAGATGATCCTGTCAATAGAACTTACTTTTTTATTGGTTTACTGGTGCGATCAAAAGTTGGCTTCTCTTCTTCCTCAAGATCTTTCTTGATATTAGGAGAAGAGTGGGACCTACTTAATCCACCACGAGACGGCTCCTCTTTCAGTGTAGTTATATAAATTTCTAGACAACACAATTATATTCAATACAAAAGTGGTAAATGAATTAGAATGATTATTATAATTTTTGTAAACTTCAGACTTGATATACTTGAGGAGATGCAGTATTATTTTAAAATGTTATCCCTTAAGCGCCATAACAACCAAAGAAATTTGATGTCTGTAAAACATTATAAACTGGGTTCTCATTATTTTGAAGATGATTTTTTAATAACTAATGAAAAGAGGATGGCTTGTTAATGCTGCCTTCAAATTTTTCTTTGAAACTCCCCTCCCCTCCCCAATTAATGGTATTATTTTTTTTGTTGCAATTACTCTCTAAGACTGAAACAGAGACTGTTCCTGTGATGAGTCAAAGTATGTGCCCTGAACATTTTGATACTTGCAAAGGGTGATACCAATTGCAAAGTAAAAAAAAAAAATAATGCTAATAAGGTTGAGGAATATTATACAGATCCTACATCAAGAAACATGACAAGGGTATGTGGATCCTCACCAGGGGGTTTAGAGATGACCGGTGGAGGAAACCACTGAGTGGCACCTCTGTTGTGATCAATATAGAAGTATCTGTTAGTGGCACGGTCAAGTCGCTTTTCCCAACCAGGTGGCAGATTGTTAGATGGCACATTTTTAGATGAAGGCTGCTCAATTGCTAAATTAAAAAAAAAAAAAAATTATGAACAGAAATAAATCAAATATCAAAGTTTTTCATCTAGCAAGTGCCAAAGAAAACATTTAGAATGTTTACATTATAAGTGTGCATAAGTTTTATCCTTTTTGAAAAGTTTTGATAAAATGGTTATGAATTCCATAAATATTTTTGTACAATTTTATTTACATCAGTTTAGGAATTATATTTTTTTAGCGCATGCAGGAATCATGTAGGGAGTTGTAGGCAAAGTCACAAATTACCTTTGTGTTTAACTTGTTCTAAAGCTTTTCTTTCTTTTAGCATGTTTTCTGCTGCTTGTTTCTCCTTTAGTAATCTTTCAGCTATTTGTTTCTCCTTTAGTAATCTTTCAGCTATTTGTTTCTCCTTTAGTAATCTTTCAGCTACTTCTTTCTCCTTTAGTAATCTTTCAGCTGCTTGTTTCTCCTTTAGTAATCTTTCTATTTCAGCTGCTTCTCTCTCTCTTATAATTCTCTCTCTTTCCGCTGCTTCTCTCTCTTTAACAATTCTCTCTTTTTCAGCCGTTTCTTTCTGTTTTAGCATTTCTATTTCTGCAAGTTTCTCTGCTGCTTCTCTCTCTTTCAAAATCTTTAATTTTTCAGTCTCTTCTTGTTTCTTTTGAGCCATTTCCTTTTGTCTTTGAGCTTCTAATTTCTTCTTTTCTAGAGTGTCCTTATTTTGATTGGCCAGTTCTTTTTTCTCCATTTCTTCATCAAGTTTAGATTTATCTGCCTTCTTTGGCATGGCTTTCCCTGTCTCAGCATTTTTGTCCAAATCTCTTCTTGGATCAATGTTTGCTCCTTTGATGTCATTATCCATTTTTGTTAGCATTTTGTTATCATTGCCTTCTGTTGATGTCAATATTTCATTAACATTCGGAGTGACTTTAGAATCTGCTGGTCTAGTCTTTTCCTATAAGTAAATAAAATATGTTTAAAAACTTGCACAAATAAAAGAACAATTTTTTTTATTTTATGATTGTTAAACAGTACACCCCATTGTTTTCTCTTTAATTTTATATAAATTGCCATGTGTCTAAGGTTAAACAGATTCCTTCATAGAGTGTGAAGTTTCAATCAATCCAAGATGGACACATGTAAGCTAACCCATTTTACAATCCAAGATGGACACATGTAAGCTAACCCATTTTACAATCCAAGATGGACACATGTAAGCTAACCCATTTTACAATCCAAGATTTGCTGCATTGAACACTTCAGCGGTCATGAAAGGGCACATAGTTTGTGGTGACTTCAGGTAATGATCTCACCCATCCTAATTTTGTATAGATATACAATTTGGACATCCTTTTTTTTATTTAGAAAGCCTAACAGTTTGATTTTGGGGTCATGCAGTTTATTTCTCTAGAGATGCAAGACACAGACTTTTAAAATGATGCTTCGGTATTTCTATAACTGTGGCAGTGGGAGACATATTTATAATGCAGTAAAATTTGAGTTTTGATGCACCAATTAATCAGAATAGGAAAACAAATCAATGACCAAATTATGGATTCGTTTAAAAAAATATATATTTCTGTTGTGCTCTTGTTGTTGAAACATTGTTTAAAAACCTATTATATGATTTTTTATATCTAAAAATTGATATAGTTTGTGTTCCATAGTGGCTTAATCTGATAAAGTCTTTGCTTTCTATACTGGCATTACTGATCTAATCTTTGTTTTCTTTGTTGGCATGATCTAGCAAAGTCTTTGCTTTCTATAGAGGCATATCTGATAAAGTCTTTGTTTTTTATATTGGCATTATTGATAAAATCTTTTTTTTCTTTGCTGGAATGATCTAGTAAAGTCTTTGTTTTCTATAGTGGCATAATCTGATACGGTCTTTGTTTTCTTTGGTGGCATGATCTGATCAAAATCTTTGTTTTCTTTAGTGGCATGATCTGGTAAAAAGACATGTCAATTACAAATAAACTGTTAAATCGGCCAATCCAGACTACTCTGTGCAGATATTTATAATAATGTACTTTTAAAATTGAATCACTGGTGAATTAAGAACTTTTACTTATTTAAACATGTTCATTTCATATCATGGGATTTTTTTTTCTTTTTGGAGGGATTCGTTTTTTTTTCTGAATCATGCGCATATTTTTTACTTTGAGTTTTCAGTACACACTTGAGATCAATGTTTGGTCATTCATGTAACAACATCTTCAATGTACTTGGCAAGAACTGAAATGTTCAATGTACTTGTCAAGAACTGAAACATTCAATGTACTTGGCAAGAATTGAAACATTCAATGTACTTGTCAAAAACTGAAACATTCAATGTACTTGTCAAGAATTGAAACATTCAATGTACTTGGCAAGAACTGAAACATTCAATGTACTTGGCAAGAATTGAAACATTCAATGTACTTGGCAAGAATTGAAACATTCAATGTACTTGTCAAGAAATGAAACATTCAATGTACTTGTCAAGAACTGAAACATTCAATGTACTTGGCAAGAATTGAAACATTCAATGTACTTGGCAAGAACTGAAACATTCAATGTACTTGGCAAGAACTGAAACACTGAATGTACTTGGCAAGAATTGAAAGATTCAATGTACTTGGCAAGAACTGAAACATTCAATGTACTTGTCAAGAACTGAAACATTCAATGTACTTGGCAAGAATTGAAACATTCAATGTACTTGGCAAGAACTGAAACATTCAATGTACTTGGCAAGAATTGAAACATTCAATGTACTTGTCAAGAATTAAAACATTCAATGTACTTGTCAAGTACAGAAACATTCAATGTACTTGGCAAGAATTGAAACATTCAATGTACTTGTCAAGAACTGAAACATTCAATGTACTTGGCAAGAATTGAAACATTCAATGTACTTGACAAGAATTGAAACATTCAATGTACTTGTCAAGAACTGAAACATTCAATGTACTTGGGTAGAATTGAAACATTCAATGTACTTGGCAAGAACTGAAACATTCAATGTACTTGTCAAGAACTGAAACATTCAATGTACTTGTCAAGAACTGAAACATTCAATGTACTTGTCTAGAATTGAAACATTCAATGTATTTATCAAGAACTGAAACATTCAATGTACTTGGCAAGAACTGAAACATTCAATGTACTTGGCAAGAACTGAAACATTCAATGTACTTGGCAAGAACTGAAACATTCAATGTACTTGGCAAGAACGGAAACATTCAATGTACTTGGCAAGAACGGAAACATTCAATGTACTTGGCAAGAACTGAAACATTCAATGTACTTGGCAAGAACTGAAACATTCAATGTACTTGGCAAGAACTGAAACAATCAATGTTCTTGGCAAGAACTGAAACATTCAATGTACTTGGCAAGAATTGAAACATTCAATGTACTTGTCAAGAACTGAAACATTCAATGTACTTGGCAAGAATTGAAACATTCAATGTACTTGGCAAGAATTGAAACATTCAATGTACTTGGCAAGAATTGAAACATTCAATATACTTGTCAAGAACTGAAACATTCAATGTACTTGGCAAGAATTGAAACATTCAATGTACTTGGCAAGAACTGAAACATTCAATGCACTTGGCAAGAACTGAAACATTCAATGTACTTGTCAAGAACTGAAACATTCAATGTACTTGTCAAGAATTGAAACATTCAATGTTTTTGTCAAGAACTGAAACATTCAATGTACTTGGCAAGAACTGAAACATTCAATGTACTTGGCAAGAACTGAAACATTCAATGTACTTGGCAAGAACGGAAACATTCAATGTACTTGGCAAGAACGGAAACATTCAATGTACTTGGCAAGAACTGAAACATTCAATGTACTAGGCAAGAACTGAAACATTCAATGTACTTGGCAAGAACTGAAACATTCAATGTACTTGTCAAGAACTGAAACATTCAATGTACTTGGCAAGAACTGAAACATTCAATGTACTTGGCAAGAATTGAAACATTGAATGTACTTGTCAAGAACTGAAACATTCAATGTACTTGGCAAGAACTGAAACATTCAATGTACTTGGCAAGAACTGAAACAATCAATGTACTGGGCAAGAACTGAAACATTATCTCATTATAAATAAAGATAAAGCTTAAGTACTCAGCGCCCAGCTAGACTTTCTAATGATAATCATCTTCCTCCTCTCTTTTGAGAATACTTTGTCTTAAACTTTAGAATTACATGCCCCTTATTTTCAGAATTTTATTTTAAATTGACAAGAGGGAATAATTCACATCTTGAAAGGTGAAATAAAAAGATTATTTTTTATATAAAAAAAATTGATTTAAATGCCACTTACTTGGGTCACAATATTAATATTTGATTCCCTCTTCCTTTCTTGTCTCATCATTTCCACTTTTTGCATTCTGTGTTTCTTTTCCTCTTCCACTTTAGCCTGCTGCAAAGCATAACTCCTGCAGAAAATACTCATTCGTTTATATCTCAGTTTAAAAGATCAGGATCATTTCTTGATCCAAATTCAATTGATCATTTTTAAGGAAAGCAACACAAATTTTAGTTTAAGAATTGGAAATTATATACACAAATTAATGTACTAAAACAATGAAACAATGACTGGAAGTCAGTGTGTTATAGCACTAGGTAAATAAAAGTACAATCTATGCAAAAGCTTGATAAGTGACACAACAAAAAAAAAAAAGGTTCAGACTAAATGCCCTAATCAGGGAACAAAAAAGGAAAGTCAAGTAAACATAAAATGAGATTTAGCTGTGTAAAATTGAAAGTACACATTGATTGGACATAACTAGGGAGGTGTGGGGAAGGATGAAATTGGTTGGTATCATGTGGTGAAAATGTGCCAAAAATATGCATATTGTAAAAGTGGAAGATACAATGAATTAAGATTTTCTTTTTTGTTCACTGAAGAAGGCTTTAATCCAATATTTTTGTTGACTCTCTTTTCTAGCATTTCCCCCATGTTATCCTACAGGTGTTGCCAAGCATTTCCCTATTTTAACCTTACAGATGTGGCACATATACATAACCATGTTTAACAGATGTGGCAACAAATGTAACCTTCTTTAACAGATGTGGCAGATATACATAACCTTAACCGATGTAGCACATATACATAACCTTGTTTAACAGATGTGGCTCATATACATAAAATGGTTTAGCGGATGTGGCAACTGTACATAACCTTATTTAACAGATGTGTCACCTATACATAACATTTTACCTAATGGAAAATAGCAGCTCTTATTTTAGAATGTTTTTATTGTTCACATTTTCCAATTTTTTTAAATTTTACTTTTTGTGTGTTATTGCCTCAACCAGTTTTGGGTGTTCCTGCAACCCTGGCACTGCCTCTCACACCCCAGTTTAAAAACCCTTGAGTTATAAGAAGTGTTACACATCAGCACTTACTTTTTCTCTTGTTCAAGTTCTAATAACATCTTCTGCTCTTCTTGTGCCTGCTTCTCTCTATCGATATCCTCCTTTAATTTTCTCTTCATCCTCATCAGATCAGCCACATCTTTTTCCTCTTTCTTTTTCATCTTCTCCAGATCTTTCAGTCTCCTCTCAACATCTTCTAATTGCTGCTGATGAAGCTTTATCGGTGGAACCTCTACATCTTGATTTTCTTCATTAATTTTTTCTATTGCATTCCCTGGCAAATCTTTGTTACCTGATTGACCACTTTGAATTGAACTGTCATTTGACATGTTACCAGGGGCAGAGATTCCCCCAGCAATCGTGTAAGATGATTTATTTTGATGTGTATGACCAACACTATTAGCACTGGACACACTGTACACGTTGGCCTCTTTATTTGACATGGGATCAACTGTTGAGGACCAGTTTTCTCCCGATATCGATGGTTTTAAACTGCGGTCAACTCTCGGCAGGGGCACAACTGTTGGCACGGCAGCTGTTGCAGCGCCACTGTTGTCAGAGGCAGGGGGTATTTGGTTAATTTGTGCACCATCAGATGATGGAGGCGTGACATTCTGTGGTAAATTATCACTCACTTCTGGATAGTCAAAATCCACTTCAAAAAGTAAAAAAAATAATATGTAACAGTGATACTTAATGGTATGCCAAGATAAGTAAACACATCATTTTAAAAAGCTGAAACATTATTTCCCAAGTTGAGGTCAGTGGTGTGCTCCAAATGAACCAACAATTTCTTTGTGTCGGTTACTGAACTAAAAATTAACGTGTTTGAAGACCTTTTTTGTTTGTTTGGTAAAATCATCTACATTTAAGAAATGTCTCCAGCACATGATTGGTTGAGGTCTTTAAATTAAAATTTTTGAGCAAACTTTGATTTCTTTTTCTAATTTACAATGTAGTCTATTGCTATAAAAACACATTTTCTTCCCATTAGGATTCACTTACATGTCATTGTGGGTGAAGGTGGCTGTTCTCTGTTATAGTCACTTGGTCGTATGACATGAGCATTTGTGGTCATAGTTGGATAAAATAATAACCATTGATCATAGCCACCCTCTAGTATCAGGGGCTCAGATTTAATTATAGTGCTGGTATCAAACTGAAACAAAGGCAGAACAGTTACAGTTCTAAGACAATTCAAATATTAGACACCAGACATTTTTTTTACTAATGAAAATATCAAGTTCAAAGAAATTTCCTTTTATAATCTTACAAGACAATGACTATTGTTTATTGACTAGAAAAAACCCAGCGGGGGCAATGCGTTAACTTCACAGCTGCTAAAGTAGCTCAATTAGTGTTAACTTTGGTGAATTTTATTGTGGGGGGTCTATTTAACACAGCTTTACAGCCATACATACACACCTAGAGAATTATTGTTTGTAATGAAATTGGTGAGGTTTTGTCAGAAATTATGATCTATGATGAATTGGTAACATCCAACAAAGTCAGCGATTCCCAATTAATATGAATATATTCAAAGCATTTGTACAATACCAGAAAAGTATAAAGCCATTGTTCAAGACCATTTTCACCTTGAAGAGCGCATCTTTGAGTGTTCTTAATGGAGTTCCAATGGTTGCCGTTTCATTGGTTGACTTCCAATCCAAGAGGACAATATAATCCACATGGACTCTTTGCTGCCACATTGAGAGGGATTCTCTCGGTAGTTTAGATTGAATGTGATTGACAGTAGAACTGACAAAATTTAAACACAAAACACAACTTATTTGATATCTTAACATCTTTATAAATAATTATTTTTTTAAATAATTAAAAAATGCACAATTTGGACAAGAAATTAAAAAAAATATCCATTTACGAGAAACATGTACAATGTAAAACAATCTAAGATACAGAATTAATACAATATTTTAAAATTTACCCCGGCACCAGAATGTCGTGAGGAACACTGATACAATCTGTAAAAGAAATGTGCGATTTGTTAAAGTCCTCAGCAGGCCTTACATCCATGAGCACGACTTTTGTAACAGTGTCTCGAAGCAGCCCACATAAGTTGATGCATTTGATTGATCCAGATTTGTTGACAGGTTCTGCTTCTAAAAGGAGAGGGAATAATAATTTCTTTAAGCAAGGTATAAAATAAGAATAATTTTTACTTAAGATTAAAATGATTAAATACTTCACACAGACCTTCTTACCCTCGAACTCCAAAAATCGTAAAATATCGTCTCAAAATGGTACAACACAGTATCTTTATAGTAAATAAACGAACATACCGTATATATAATGTATATAATAACGACTCGTATTGCGTGTCTAGTGGAATCGAGTTAAGCTGACTTAAAAAAAATTAACTTCTAAAAGTGGACTGATTGGTCAGTTTGTTTTGCGGACGTATATCTGCTATAGATATTAATTAATAATTAGGTGAACGTGCAGATCACATTATCACAGTCTGTCACTGGTAAAAATAAAGTTACTGATGACAGTTGAAATTTAACGGGGTTCAAACTGGAAATTTGATCAGCGTAAAATAAAAATTTTTAAGATAAGAATTAATTAACAAATTAGGGCGTCATTTTAAAAAAACCTACCGAGAAACTTAAAATTTAATTTTGAGGAACATATATTTTAAAAAATAAATAAATAAGAATCAATATCCATTATGCCCATTTCCCGTTAACATATTACAGTCTGATAACTATCACAAGTTGTAAATGGGTGAAAGGAAAAGGGGGTATCAAAAATCGTACAGCTGTTTAGCGTGATCTAAAATAGATTTCAAAGGCCCCTTCGGATCCTATAAAATATGTTGAAATCTAATATTGCTGCGTGAAATAGTTGCGAATGTATCTCTAGTTTTCTCCGTTTCTGCACTCATCAGCCACTGTTCAGCTGTAAGAAATAATTGTCACAAAATTATGTCATACAGCACGGGCATGGTCATGAGAATGGGACTAGGAGCAACAGGTGCCAAAAATCATCTTTAGGAATTACTTAATAGTGAATTTCCATTAACTTAACAAAGACAAGGGGTGCTAAAAATATTCCCTTTAAAGGTCCGCCCCAGGGGTGGACATTTTTCTATATGTGTTGCTGCGACTTCCTAGCCTGTTGAACACATAAATTGGCATAGCCACCGGGAAAGAAAATTTTAGAACCACAGGCGTAGTCCAACAAAATATACATCACACATCACAAGCACGTTAAAGTCAGTGGACTAAATATTAATGTAACACCTCTACTACTGAGTACTTGAGTGTATCTAGCGAGTTCATTTGTGAAAATATATGGCAAAAATTACTACAAAACTTTGCCCTAAAACTAAATATGCCATTTTTGGACTTAAATTTTCAGGATTAATATTGTCCAATTTATTAATAACTTACGTACTTCTGACAAAACACCCCCCTCCCCCAAACACTATCATATGAAATTTGGCGGTGTTAAATTTAGATAATTACATATTTAGACCCCCACCTCTTAACACAAAATCTCCTAAATCAACACCACTCATTCCCCTCTCAGGACAAACATAATATAATATATATAATTATAGATGGTCCACAATCAATTGTATTTCTCATACCATTCACTGCTGGATGTAGAATGCAAATTAAAACTAATACCCGAAGACATACTTTTTAATTAATTATATTTTTTTTAATCGGCAAAAACTACGGAATGTACATATTTTCAACCAGGTCTCTTAAAATTGTAGTTCTGATGGATCTTGGCTTACCATCGTAAAAGACATCTCAATATCGTATGTTGTACGCCAAAATCGTAAGAGTAAACATGTCTGTTTACATGATCAATATTTTCTAAAATCATACCTGTTGCAATCTCCGCTTCCTTAGGTAACACATTTTCCTTCTCATCATTCTCTTTTGTTATGCTACTTGCAGCATCTTCTTTAACTTCACGAAGAGACAATTTTTTAGCCAATGCTTCAGCTTTTTTCAAATCATATCTGAAATGTTATAATAAAGATTTAAAAAATACATGTTTGACATAAATGATGACGTTTTTATTTAAAGACTTACATTTTTAGGCTTGAACATTTTATCCACATCAATTTTTACTGCACGTTTAAAATATTCTATCCATGGAATAACATCAGAAATTTAAACAAATATAGAGAGGATATAAAAGTAACAAATAACACAATTTCCAATTATTTTTTTTATATTACTGGAAGACGTATCTTTAGGAAATCCTAGTGTAAAAAGAGAACATTATGAGAAGCTGTATAGCAAAATATAGAAGATGAAGGGATGTGGGTAAGCTGTTAGAAAACCACAAAGAAGTTGATTTTAAATGACCTCTGTTCCTAGTGGAATGCTTCAAGAAGAGATGGAATATATCAGTGTCAACCTATGATGGTTATATTATTGTATATGCAGAACAATTTACAGAACTAGTTACCTTTCCTTCAGACTTTCAGAAAGCTTTTCCGCTCTTTCAATTGCCTTTATTTGGTTCTTCATGCTCAAGAGCTTGTCAAAATATTCCTGTAGCATAATAGTTTTGCTTAAATCAGTTTAATTAAATTAACTTTCTAAAGTAATGTAAAATTGTTCTTATTAAAATTAACGTTGTAAAATATATTGATTAAAAGAAATTTTGAAGAAGTCCAAATTTTGCTCAATAATTTTATATTTTTGGAAATTAGGACTTTATATTAAATGTCATGCAGTTCAGCAATGGAGCAGTCAACCAGTATCCACCCAAGGCTAACAGCCTGAGCAATTTTAGGACCTGATTAAACAAAAAATAATTTGTATTAATTTTTTTAATAAAATAAGCAAACATTTGAAATTAACCATTCCTTACGGTTGTGACTAATTGCCACATGCCGGGCTCACGATGGATGCATCCTACTACATCCCAGCCTGTTCTGACATACCTCTCTTAATATTATTTTAAAACAGCAATTAAATCATGTGTGCCTAGAGTTTTCCATCGATGGCATGATTCTGAGTGATTTTAAGTTTTAATAATTTTTCACTTTTGATTTTTGTGCCCTTTAGTGCTGTGCGTCTTATTAGCATGTGTTGCCATCATGCAGCTGACGAATGATGTTGCATCCATTTAAGTGGAAAATATACTAAAGACTCTGGCCGGAATTTAAATTCAGTTACGTATTTTTCCTTTTTATAAGGGTGTGTACAGGAAGAGGTAGTACCCCTGATGGGGGAAAACATTGTGCTCCTTGGAGCAGTTCATCCGCCTTGGTCCTCTTCTGTCACTCAAATGTAACCTGTGCATCCCAGCAGCTGTTAGCATGCAACAATTTCCACTAGCCGGCTAAACCAGGTGAGGGATGCATGTTGACCTGAGAGCAGGACAACGGTCAGTCATCTCAAGCATTCCCCATCACAAATGGTGTGAAGCAGGGCTGTGTCATGGTTCCCACACTCTTCAGTATTATGTATTCTGCAATGCTGTCTGATGTGTTCAAGGACTCCACCACGGGCTTGCCAATCCGGTTTCGCACTGATGGATCAGACTTCAACCTTAGGAGGCTTCAAGCTAAAACCAAGGTCAAACAAAACACCATCAATGAGCTTCTGTTTGTGGACTATTGTGCCCTCAACGCTGCCTCAGAAGCCATCATGTAACACAGCGTTGATATCTTCTCTAAGGACTGCAATAACTTTGGCCTCACAATCAACACAAAGAAGACTGGGTTTATGTATCAGCCAGCTCCCATTAAGCCCTACGTTGAACCCAACATCATCATCAGCGGATAGCATCTCAACACGGTGGAAAAATCTACTTCAGCACCCTCTCCAGATCATCATGGATGATGAAATGAATGCCAGACTCGCAAAAGCTGGTGCCATATTTGGCAGGCTACGCAGCACAGTTTGGGACAGGAGAGGTATCAGACGAGTAACGAAGATCAAGGTCTATAGCGCAGCAGTCCTCCCGACGGATGTGAAACGTTGACAGTCTACGTGGACAAGCCAAGAAACTGAACCATTTTCACACAACTTGCCTCAGGAAACTCCTCGGCATCAGGTGGCAAGACAAAGTTTCTGAAACAGAGGTCTTCGCTAGAGCGAACCTACCCAGTATCTTCATCACTGGCTACCAAAGCAGATATTCTTCAGAGAACTCACGATAGGCAAGGAGGTAAAAAAAAGCGTTACAAAGACTCAATGAAAGCGGTACTAAAGGCCTTCAGCATCAACCCTACTAAATGGGTGCAGACAGCCCAGGACAGAGCCAGTTGGAGAGCAGCTGTCAAGAAGGAGGCTAAATCTCATGAAGCCAGTAGGATAACCACAGCTGAAACACACAGGCTTGCTCGAAAGAGCAACATTAGATCACCTTCTGCAGCAACTATCCCATGACCGCGTTGCCAGAGATTATTCCAAGCACGGATCGGTCTTGCAAGCCACCTACGAGCTCACCGTAACCCACCCTCCCCCCAACCGGATGACTCGATGGTCCTAGTCGATTTTGACAGACGAACAATAATATTAGCATGTGTTAGTCTTGTGTTCATATCATAGTACAGGCTATATAATCAAAATGAATCCTCAAAAAAAAAAATAATTAATTTTAATGTTTTAATAATACAATTTATATTAATTATTACACCACTTGAAATGAGTAAAACTTACAAATGGTAGCATTAAACACAGAATATATTTTTTTAAACAACTTTTCACAGCACTCCTATCAATCCCTATATTTCATAAAAAACTTTTCTGCTGCATCTGCTACCTGGCTCTTTGGGTCGATGGTTGCCTGGTCAAGTGTTTTAACCTTTTTGATGGTCCTATTCAGCACAGTCATTTATGTTATAAACAGGCTCAGAGTCCCATCACCAACTTCAGGATGGCAAGGTATAAACAAAGTTTTAAAAACATGGCAATTAATTTTTTCCTGAGATATTAAATTCCAAATTAAAGTATGGATGAGCTCACCTTTTGTTTCTTGTATTCAGCTTTAGTCTTTATCTGTTTGATTATATTAAAATACTTGAGATAAAGAACAAACGCTTTCTCTTCATCTCCTTGTGAGTCAAAAGTCTCAGCATCTTGAAAAACTTTATTTGAAGATCGTACAATGCTGTAAAATATGATCCAAGTCAACAAAATATCATTGTAACTAACTTTTCATTGAAATGGTTTAGACTTAGCAATATTTAATCTTATAAATATAAAAAGAACAAAAAAACTCATATTTAATGATTAGATGTTTTTTTAAAACAAAATCAGTAGTTCTAATCCCCAATTAATTAAAAAAAAAAGATACTTGCAGCCCCTAGAACTAAGTCATGATGAGTCAAAACTACTTTGAACTAAGTTTCAATTGCACTGATTATCTACTCCCCACCCTCTGGGTTAGAAAATCCTGATTTGTATGATCTGGTGGTGGTTGCATGAATATAGGTAATAAAACCCCCGAGCTATGCAGCAGTTTCATATAGTAAAATAAAATCATCAAAAGAGAGAAAATTGAAACAGGCCAAAACATAGGAATGGGCAACCTGCTGCCCATTGGCTACATAGGGCCAGTGAAATGTTTAATGTGGCCCAAAAGACCTTCAGAGAACTTTTTTTTCATAAAATGTACAAATTTTGAATAAATATTTGTTAAAACCTTTGAAAATTAATAATCATAGGAAATTTAAAAGTTACTCTACTGCTTATTTGAGAAATGAACTCTGCGTAATTTTGGAAGCCCATCTTAATGACCTATAGGACTTATATACAATTTTATCATGCTGCACATTAAAAAAAAACTTCCATGCTGCCCTCCATGCAAAAAAATTGCCCACCCCTGTCGTAACACATTAATTTCAATCAATAGTGTTACAATTGTTTCCGAATATAAATAACCCATTAATTTCTTTTACAAGTCAAATTGTAAATACATTAAAATAATAAAACTTACATGCTTACGGGGCTGTCAATTGGTTTGATTTCACTTATTTTTTGCAAATCTCCAAGGGATTCCCCCAGATACAACTCCTTCTTTTTCAGTAAGGGGGCTGGCATTTTTTAATTTTGACGTTCCTACAACTATCAAATATTAATGATAAGAAGCAAAAACTTTAAATGTAGTGCAAAGAGCACAATTAAGTCATATTCTTGCAGAATTCAAAGAGTAAGAAGATTCAGGTAATGCATCAGACTTTGTTTTAATGGCAAGTGAACTCTGCAAACTCTAAATTTCAATTTATCTTTCCCAACAACCCTTAATTGATTGTAAATATTGCAGTTTCTTTGAATTTTATTGAATTTTTTTGTTTTTTTCCATTAATAATTAATTGGAAAATAAACATAAAATTTTGTAGAGCTTAATTAAACATTTGTGAAAATTAGGTCCTCTGCCTCTATCAAATTTAGATATAGCTCAAGCTATCATAGCCATAAAAATTGTGTTTGAGGTCCTCTATCAAATTTACATATAGCTCAAGCTATAATAGCCATAAAAATTACTTTATTACAGCAATATTTAAGAATTAAACTGAAAAAGATGTTAAAATATATCAAAAGAAATCGATGGTTTACTTCTGTTGAAAGCCATTGCACATTTGTATAACAATTTTGAATGACAGAGGCATCACATTGATGGAATTCATGAAGAAAAATTTAATAGATACCTTCGGACCTTTGTGGGTTGAGCTGTAAATTTATTAGAAATAAATTTCAGCTACTCCATGTTACTAGCAACAAAGTTACTTTAATAATTTAATGTAATAGTTAAATCTACTTAACAAAATCACATCCTGACTATTGACAAGAGAATTTTGGTCCCAACATTTATTTCCAAAAGTATAATGAATTTTATTTTATTTAAATTTTTTCGTAATTATATAAAAAGAATAGTTTACTAAAAATGGCTTTGTTTTATGGCTTTGTTTTTGAAAAAAAGATATTAACAGTGGTTCGCAAAATTGTACGATATTGTGGACATGTTTTGTTTAAAAATACTATTTAAATCTTCATCCAACAGCTTTCTTTTGAAAATTTTAATATTAATTTAGGCCCTAAGAATTTATGTCCTATATATTACTTATTTGATTATAGTTTATAGGGCTAGGTACTAGTTATTAGGTAAATAAGTAAAATAAACGAAGTCAAAGGGGAGGGAATAATACACGGAAACTTAAATAAACACACAAATGACATCATGGTACCAATTCTCTGCACAGGCCTTTAGACTTTAGTTTAACTGAAGAAGTAAGTTTACAAACATATAGTCCATTAATAATCAATCATCTTTCATTTGATACCAAATTTTGCCACTTAGTACTTAGTAAGTTACAAACCCAACAACTAACAGTTTACATATCAATCTCAATCTTTTCCAGGCCCGAATAGCCACTTTGTACCCATATACTTATAGTATAGCTAGCCCTATCATATATGAAGTATGTCATATATATTTTAATTTTATGGTTGAATCAGACAATATTTAAAATTAATTAAAGTTTTAAAACTTTTACTGTTTTACTTTACTGAATTAATTTTATTATTGACAAGCTTGTTATTTTACAATTTACTTACCTTCAGTTTAATATTAATCTTTAGATTAACAGGTTTTAAATCGTAATTGCATAGTTCATGGAAACCCATTTAATGTTTTTAGGCTAGGTATTCTTTTAAAACCCCAACCCAGAATTATATCATTCCAAACAATTATTTCCAGTTGTTTACTAATATATCTTTACTTCCGGTTTCTTGATGAAATCATTTTAAAAGAAAGAAAAGCAAATAGATATGGAACAAACTAATTTAATAGTCTTCAAAATGCTCTGCAACAATGAATGGTTCAGATTTTAAATATATGGAGCGTTGGCGTTGTCAGAATCAGTGGCGTAGTTAGGCAGGTGCGGGGCGGGGGGGGGGGGAAGGGTGCGGACCGCACCGGTTGACACCATCTGAGGGGCTAACACCAAATTGAAAAAAATTGCATTTCTGCAGAGCACGCACACTGCTTGGTCTAACACTAACAGGATGTCTTAAAAGGATAACTGATCACCAGTGTTTCTTTCAGAAAGAAGTTTTACCCGGG